CACGGGGCGCGCCCGCCGCCGCCGCCTCCTCCTCCTCCTCCTCCCCCGGGCCGGGCCGCGCGCGCACGGGCCCGCGTCCTTCGGGCGCCTCGGTCGGCCCCTGGGCCGGCTTTAACGTCCTTCAGAGGCCCCGAAACGGGCTCCGGGAGCCTCCAGAGCCCCGCCGGGGGTCTCTCAGAGCCGCGGGCCGTCTGCGGGACCCTGTGATGGGCTTCAGGATCCCTTGAACCTTCTCCCACGGTCTTTAAAATCCTTCGGGGGGTCTCGGGGATCCTCCCAAGGCCCTGCGATGCTCGTTAAGGGCCTTTGGACGCCCTCGGACGGTGTCCAGGATCCTTCAGGGGCCCTCGGACAGTCTCCGGGATCCCTCGGAGGTCCTTCAATGCTCTTTAGGGTCCTTTGAAGGTCCTCAGACCGTCTTTGACGTCCTTTGAAGGTCCTTCAGTGGTCTTTAAGATCTGTCGGAGGCCCTCGGACGGTGCCCGGGATCCTTTGTACGACCCTCGATGGTCTTTAATATCCTTTGAACATCCCCAGACGATCCTTGGAAGGCCCTTGGATGCTCTCTGAGATCCTTTGCGGGTGTCCAGATGGTCTCCAGGATCCTTTGAAGGCCCTACAAGGCTCTTTAAGATCTTTTGAAGGCCCTCAGAGGGTCTCTGGGAACCTATGAAGGTCCTCAGACAGTCTTTGAGATCCTTTGAAGGCCCTCGGACAGTGTCCAGGATCCGTTGAAAGTCCTTTGATGCTCTTTAAGATCCTTTAAGGTCCTCAGACAGTCTTCGAGATATTTTGATGGTCTTTAAGATCCATCGGAGGCCCTCGGACAGTGCCCAGGATGCGTTGTGTGAATTTCAATGGTCTTTAAGATCCTTTGAACATCCCTGGACAGTCTTTAAGATCCTCGGAAGCCCCTTTGATGCTCTTTAAGATCCTTTGCAGGTCTTCAGACGGTCTCCAGGATCCATCAGGGGTCCTTCAGTGCTCTTTAAGATCCATCGAAGGCCCTCGGACAGGATCCTTCATGGCCTTCAATGGTCTTTAAGGTCCTTTGAACATCCTTGGGCAGTCTTTGAGATCCTTTGCAGGTCCTCAGACGGTCTTTGAGATCCTTTGCAGGTCCTCAGACGGTCTTTGAGATCCTTTGCAGGTCCTCAGACGGTCTTTGAGATCCTTTGCAGGTCCTCAGACGGTCTTTGAGATCCTTTGCAGGTCTTCAGTGGTCTTTGAATCCATTGCAAGTCCTCGGACGGTCTTTGAGATCTTTTGCAGGTCCTCAGACGGTCTTTGAGATCCTTTGCAGGTCTTCAGTGGTCTTTGAATCCATTGCAAGTCCTCGGATGGTCTTTGAGATCTTTTGCAGGTCCTCAGACGGTCTTTGAGATCCTTTGCAGGTCTTCAGTGGTCTTTGAATCCATTGCAAGTCCTCGGGCGGTCTTTGAGATCTTTTGCAGGTCCTCGGACAGTCTCCGGGATCCTTTGCAGGGTCTCCGGAGGGGTGAGGAGATAAGTGCAAGGAGAGAAGCCCTGTAGTAAATCCATCTGAGTTTGCGGTGTGGTGCTGCTCAATTCACTGATGTTATGGAGCAGTGTCTTAGGCCTGCCTCGAAAGGCTGAGAAGCACGGACGGGGCTGGAGGGAAGTCAGGAAAAAAGACGCAACAAATTTTGAGGGATATAAAAATGAATCGGGGAGGGGAGCGTAGATTACAGGAGAATAACTAGGGCTCCAAGGGGGGCAACGAACCGTGCTCCAGCTGGTGCCCATGGCATCTGAGGAGCCAGCGAAGTGCTGCCCAGAGACGTGCACGGAGGAGGGAGGGGGAGGAAGACCGCCCTGCAGTCACCTCAATCCCTTCAGCCAGCGCCTCCTTCCCCGTCTGCTAGATGGAGATTTTAGCTAGGGCCGGAAGGCGATTAACCAAGATATCCCAGGCCTTTGCAGGGCTAGGGAGAGGGTGCATAGAAAATAAAAGGGTGGGGAAGAGCGCAGCCAGAGCCTCAGTAGGAGGATCCCAACAAGGCTACCGCCTGGCACGCTCGCCCCAACCTGCATGAGCACCAGCGTGTCCCTCTGTCCACCGCAGACAGACCTGCTTGTTATGCAAAGGGCAGTGGGTGATGGCCCACCATGAAAGCTAACTTATTTACCCCAAACCAAGACGACTTTGAATTTAAGACCAGGGTCTTAAATTCAAAGTCGTCTTGGTTTGGGGTAAATAGCGTTGCTTTAATTAGATTCTATACAGAGAAAATTATACGTTTGTTATAATTTTCCATGTATAGAATCTAATTATTGGCTCCTGCCCCAGCCCAAGTCAGCGACCGCCTGCCCCAGGCTAGCACTCAAATCGAAGACTAGGCGGGGGAGGTTGCCCCTGTATTGAATTAGTCGTGGATTTGAGTAAATATGGCATATGCCCCTCTCAGTCAGAGAGGTCACTGGAAACATGCCAGATTTTGCTGGACAAGAAATAAGAAAGCAGGGAGGGGAGTGGAGGTCACAGGTTGATAACAAGGGTACCAAGGCGGGCACCAAGCGGAGCGCAGCGGCTGGTGCCCGCTGGCCCTCAAACACATCCAAGGAGCCCATGGATGCCACCCAGAGACATGCGTGGAAGAGCAACAGCAAAAGAGGCTCGTGGTCACCTGGGCTTTCCCCAGCCAGGGTCTCCCTCCTGGTCTGGTAGACGGTGAGTTTGGCCAGAGCCAGGAGGAGGTTGACCAGGAGGCCCCAGGGCTTGGTGGGGCCACAGATGCAGAGTGCGTAAAACAGAAGATGCAGGCAGAAGTGCAGTGCAGACCTCGGGAGGAGGGTCCTGAGACTGCAGCCCTGCGCGCTCCACGTGCGTTGTACCAGGGTGTCCCTCTGTCCACGGGGGATAAAATGCTAGGCTGGACAGACCCTTGAGGGGTTTTCTTAAGCTTCCCCCAGAGATGCTGGGCATTGGCTGCAGCCCAACCTGGGGATGAAGACGGGCTGTGCCAACGCTCCTACTGGGACCAGCCCCACAGGGTCCTGGCTAGAGGGGCACGGCCCCTCCACTCAGGCTCAGACCGACGCTGCATTGGGAGCAGGAAGGGATTTCCCCCGTGGTAAGATTGGCAGGGACTGGGGGTTTTGCCTTCCTCTACCTGGGGTTTCCCAGTCGTATATTAAACCTTTTATAGCAGCAGGACATTGGCTGCCGTGGTCCCCCTGCTTTCCCCATGGCAGGTTCGGCTGCAATGTCTGGTGTTGCGTCAGGGTTGACAGGAGTTTGGCTAAGAGGTTGGACGGTGGATTTGTCTGGGATGCTTTGGACAGGGCTGATCCTGCCTCGGGCCAGGGATTGGACTAGATGTGACCTCTGGAGCTCCCGTCCTCTGGGGCACGCAGGCATCTCGTTTCTCTCCGTGGCTGCCCTCCTTCCCTCTCCTTGCCAGCAGGCTCAGCAATGGAAAGTCCAGGCCGAGCAGGTGGTGCCGTTAGACCCGCCTGTGGCCCCCAACCCACCTTTCAGCGAAGAAGCACAGCTACCAGTGCCAGAGACGCCCCCGTGGCCAGAGGTCAACATGGAGACGACGGTAGAGTCGCATGCCACCTGGCTGATGGCGCTGGAGGGGAGGATGGGGAACGCCGAAAGCAAGCTGGTCAGCTGCGAGAGGGCGGCCGTGGAGTTCGGGAACCGCCTGGAGAGCAAGTGGGCCGTGCTGGAGATCCTCATCCAGGAGTACGGGCAGCTGCAGAAGAGGCTGGAGACCGTGGAGAACCAGCTCAAGGAAAAGGATGTCTGGATCCTCAGTATGCCCCCGGGCTCCGTGGGGGAGGTTGCCATGGTAACAGCATGTTGATGGAGGGGGGCAGGGGAGGAAAGCCTCCCGCTGATTTAGATGTCCGGGGGGCTGTGGGGAGGTTGGCAGGGCTGACGCACCGTGGAGGACTGACTGCTCAGGACCTGGCGGGCGACATTGCGCTCTGGCCACTAGAAGTGGGGGGAGCCCTGGAAGAATTTGGCGAGCCCTCGAATCCCGAGTGAAAGCAGGGACCCATCAAGGGAGGCCGGGCTGTGCGTGGTTGAGAGCAGAGGTCTCCAAGAGACAGCCCACGCAGCTCTGCTGCCTGGCCTACGGGGCAGAGAACATGGCGGCAGGGCAAGTGACGGCAGCATTCATTGCTGTGGTGCCCATCTCGCCACCAGATTTCTGTCTCCCGGGCAGTGTGGCGGGCTGGATCCGGAGCATGGAGTGGTGCCATCAGCGGAGCAGCCTACGTGGAAATTGGGGGGTGGGAGGAGTGGGGGCTGCCACAGCTCCAGGGGCCACAGCAGTTGCTGCTGGGGGTAAGTCAAGTGGCCCTAAATTTCCAGGCCCCTGGAGGCAGGCAACACCGCTCCATGCATGGCCTGGCCCCACGCATCCCCAGATGCGATTGACACCCAGGGTCTAGAGCTCTGTCTTTGCATCCGAGGCTGGGTCTGCCCTGCGCGGCTTTGCTGGCATAGCTGTGTTGGCTTGGGTGGGGTGGGGTGGGGAGAGGGCCACAGTGCCAGGACCCCCAGTGCTGCCTGAAGGGTGCCTTGTTGGCTTTGCTGTGTTGTCCCAGGAGACGGAGCAGCCCTGCCAGCGCACCTGGAACGCCACACGGACAAACCCTGCAGCTCTTTGGACTTGCCCTTGGGCAGCCTTGGAGTGCAAGGGAAATGCTCTCGTGATCAGCCTCTTTCTCCACAGGGAGGGAGGGCTGCAGGGGCTGAATCAGCACCCGGAGAGAGGGGAAAGAAACGTGCATCCCTGGGGGATATATCCATAATGAGGCAGAGGGATCTGAAGGGCAGTGGGCTGAGTCATCTCAGCTGGAGAGCGAGGCGTCCACTTGCTACATAAAGTTATTGTAGGGTAAAATGCAAGCATGGGGCTTGGAGAGGCTGTGACCTGTCTTGGCTGCAGGAGGCTTTGCCAGGGCAGTGAGAGAAAGGGCAGCAAGTCAAAAAGTGGAGAAGGTGGCAGAGCTTAGAGCACGAGGAAGGGCACTGGAGTCAGCTTGGGCCATGGCACAGCAGCAGCTGTGCCAGGGAGAGCCGAGGAGGCACCCACAGGAGTTGCGGGGGGCTGGGCTGAGACTGGGTGGACAGGGGATGGCAGACCCCCCTCCCTTCCCAGACGCCTGTGGGGGCAGGTGCTGAGCCCCCCACACCACTTGTGATTGCAGGTCCCTGTGAACTCGGAGGCCTCAGGCTGCTTCTCTGAGCAGGAGTGGGGGAACGTGGAGCAGTGGCCTGCGGACCTCCACCGGGACGCTGTGCGGAGCAACTACGAGGCGCTGATGTCACTGGGCCAGGGTGAGTGGGGGATGCTGTGGTCAGCAGAGCACCCAGACGGGTGAGCCCCTTGCGCGGCCAAAGCCCAGGCAGCAAGCAAGGCACTGCCCTCCATGGTGGAGCCACCCCTGTCCCCTCCATTTCCCCATTGCCTCTGGGATCATGCAAGCTTCCTCGGGCTCAGGTGGGGGCTCGGCAGCTAATGCTAATCCCCTTCATATCCTTCCCCAGGCACAGACAGCGTCCTGTCCAGCGCAGAGATCCCATGTGAGGTAACCTTGGGTGATGAGCCCAGTGTCCCAGACCAAGCAGATTCTCAAGGCGCAGAGAGCCCAACAGACTTCAGCCCAGGTGAGGGGAGACAGAGAGGCAGAGGCTCCAATTAGTCCATCCTTCCCAGCCAGCTGCAGCTCTCGCCTGAGGCTGCCTGTCCCAAAGCTGTCCGTGATGGGTTCAGTCGCTGCCACGAAAGCCTAACATCCTTCTCTTCCCTGTGAACAGCCCCGCTCACATCCACCCCCGTGGCCAGCTCCTGGGTGAAGCAGGAAGACCCACTGTGTGAAGAAGACCAGAGGGGGATGGTGGAGACGAACATCCCGGCCATGCCCAGTAGGGGTGAGTGCTCGCACAGCAACAGCTGGGAAGGGAAG